TGTCCATCAACCATCCATCCTTCATCCAACCAATAATCCATCCTTCATAGGTCAATCCATCCATCATTCATCCTTCCAACCAGTAATCCATCTTTTAACCATCCATCCTTTATCAATCAATCAACCATCCATCCATCTTTTATCCATCCTCCTCTGTTTACATGTTCTTTATAGGCTCTTATTTTGAAAAGATGCCAAATAGTACATCCCAAAACCTTTCGAAAGTAAAGTTGACTGCAAGAGTTTTAAATATGGCCGACCTGCTGCAGGGATTTGTGGGTAGGCAGGAACAGGAAGTGGAGGTCAGAGAGGAGGAAGCAGGTTCTGGTACCTGAGCATGGTGTCTGGGTGGGTGTCCATGTGGGCGTCCAGGTCCAGTCTGGAGCTGCAGATCTTGAAACAGATGGGACATGGCAGTAGCTCCTCCTCGGCGCCCTGAACCCCCGCTGTGTCCTCGGCCACTGCGTCCTCCGTCACCTAAACACAGAACCACACCATTAGGACTTCCTGTCCAACAGAAACCTGCTGGCACCGAGGACGAGGCGTACCTTTTTAGTGGGAGGCTCGTCCATGTTCTCCTCCTCCAGACCCTGACGCCGTTTGACAGACGGGCGGCGGCGCTTGGTGGGGGAGGGGGGGCTGCTGATGGGGACCAGACCGCTTGCTGGGTCTTTGTCATGAATCTTCATGTGTCTGAGGAGACGAGAATACGGCAGGTCAGAGACAAAACCAGTGGACAGACAAGTCAGAAGGAGCTTCCCGTTTCCTGTCTGGAACAACCTAAGGGGGCGGAGCCTAAACAAAGAGGGTTTGAGAGGACAAGGTGAGATTTTACAGGTTGTTTAAATGGAGAGGAGATGAGGAGCTCAGGAGACAAGGGTACAAGGCAATGTAAGGACACTAGAGGAGGACATAAGGAAAGGAGACACTGTCAAGAGACAAGAGAAGAACATAAGGAAAGGACACAAGGAAAGGAAACTCTGTAAGGACACTAGAGTAGGACATAAGAAAAATTTGGGAAAAAGGACATTGTTAAGAGACAAGAGAAGGACATAAGAAAAGGAGACACTGCAAGGACACCAGAGTTGGACATAAGGAAAGGAGACACTGTAAGGACACCAGAGTAGGACATAAGGAAAGGAGACACTGTAAGGACACTAGAGTGGGACATAAGGAAAGGAGACACTGTCAGGACACTAGAGTGGAACTTAAGGAAAGGAAACACTGTCAAGAGACAAGAGAAGGACATAAGGAAAGGAGACACTGTAAGGACACTAGAGTGGGACTTAAGGAAAGGAGACACTGTCAGGACACTAGAGTGGAACTTAAGGAAAGGAAACACTGTCAAGAGACAAGAGAAGGACATAAGGAAAGGAGACATTGTAAGGACACTAAAGTAGGACATAAGGAGACTGCTGCTCGCTCCTTCTATTCTTAGGTCCAACAGGCAGCCGGCTGGACGCCCATAAGAGGTCCTGACAGTCAGCAGATCTGAGAGCAGCTGACAGGAAACTGCTCATCAACCAATCAGAACTCAGAGGGGGCGGAGCCAAACTGAGAGCAAAGTCTGCTTCTAAGTGACCAATCAGAGAGCAGGAAACACGCAGAGTCAGCGAACAGAACAGTGAGGGGAGTGTGTGTGTGTGTGTGTGTGTGTGTGTGTGTGTGTGTGTGTGTGTGTGT